GTTTAGGTTTTTGCGTGTAAATTTGAAACAACTAGTTATCATAAACATTTTTATGCTCGAAATAATTGATTGGATAATAGTTTTCATATATATACATGACACTTCTGAGAACAACATTAGTTTAGACAAATACTTTCTTAAGATGATAATCGTAGATTGTTTTAATTACTTACTATTTTATGGATAAATTTAGTTAAGGAAGTGCGAATTCCCACACTTAACCTAATCATTAAATATGTAAAAGATGTGAGAACATAAGATAAAGAAATTTAAAGATTTTGACATTAAAACGATAATTGACTGCGTTTGCAAGAAGAAACACAGAAAAAACAAATTGCGAACAAAAGTGATAATAACATTTTATTACTAGGCAGCTAATAAAGTGTTTATCATAATGGCTATGACCAGTATTCTGGATGAAGCTTTTAAAATACGGTATAAATTAGTCAGTTACTTATAATTACCTAGCTGTCCAAATTTATTTCTAGTTAACTTATCTCGTTTAATGCAGAACTAACACATTTTTCTGTATACCACTCTGGAATGACATATTGCTCACTAATTTCGGTAATATATAATCTTATAAGGTGTACACCACTTGGTTGGCATGTTTATTAAGGTACACGAAAGTAAAGTGATCTTGTCTAGTATGAAAGTAATAGAATACTTTGGAGAGATTAGCGATACAATGGTTAGTATATTAGCACCCATAAAATGCACCTCCAAGATAACCATGTTAGTGATCAATAAAAAAGCAAACTCAGTATAAATATAATCGAAAGAAAATGCCGAGTATTATCACAGTCGAAAAGCTTGGCCTAAATCTCTTAAAAAGCAACTACATGGTCACTAAAAACGTAATTCTAAAACCAGGGCAGCTATAAAAATTTGATTTAGTGCAGTTTTCATAGAACAGTTACGACGCAAGTAAGAATCAGTATTAAAGACCATATGTAGAGTAGCCTAACGGATATTATAGGTAAATCTCTTCGTATGATAATAAGGAGTATACTAAATTCAAGCAAAACTTTCTTTTTGCGTAAACCTGTTTGCATATGTTTGATGGAACAATCTCTTTCGCCTCGATCACATTTAAAAACAAAACGTTGCGACTTAATGAACCATGTCAACTTTTGCTATAATTAGCTAAAAAAAACCGGTTAGGAAGTTACCAATAGTTTAACTGACTGACTGAACTTAATTAAAGTACAGTTGAAAAGTTATGAGCACTGGGCGACCATTTCTTTCTAGAATGATATTTCTCATCGATGAGCAACCACGACCCAGAATCCGAGCATCGAATCCAAGACGTTCAATCTGGTGTGCTTAGGCTCAACCCTTGAATCACTGAGCCGGTATCTAACGAATATTGAAGTCTAACATCAATCAATTCATGAACTACAATTGATAAGATAACATTAGAAAAACTCTATAAGTTAACAAACATATATTAGTAGAGAATACTTGAATTTTTTTATTTTGATTAAAATTATTCCTAGTTTCTAGGCTGTATATGTAGTTTTGTATGCACTACTAATTGGATCTATACTCTTCTATAATACGTCTAACATTTATAGAAAACTTTATAACAGTTATTATTAAATCTTACTGTTAATATATTAATACTCATAATGTATTTACTAGATTCTGTTTACATTTCGTAAGCGATTACAGTCATTATTTTTTATCACGTATATTAACTATATATGTGACAAAAGACGATTATTATGTTGTCGTAAGGTGTTAGTTAATAAAAGAAAAGAAAATATCATTTGAATAAATTTAAAGAAAAACTACTTAAATTAAGTATACTTAAACATTTATTATAAAACAATAAGATAGAATGTACAAATAAAAATAAACGTTAATTTATAAAATTCATTCTAGTCACGTTACTTTGTGTTTTTTGAACTACAAATTTTATTCACTGCTCATAAAGTTAAATCAGATTATGAACATTTTAACTTAGTGATTAATAAGTGCTAGGGCTGAAGCTATCACGAGTTCACTTAGTCTGCAAACGAAAAACAAGACTCGGTGACCAAAGACCAGATGTGAAACTATATTTAGGATTTCATAACAACTACATAAGTTGGTGAAGATAATTGATTTTATAAGTCAATAAGTATAAAAATATAAAATCCTATATTTTTCGTGTTTTATATGTTAAGTAGACCATCATTCAGTTTTATCACTTCGTTGAATGAACAAGGAACATTATTTATATTTGCAGCATGTTTCAAGTAAGCTAGAACTATTGATAAATTTCTACTTCTATTGCTCTGATAATTACTGATTTTTAAGTTAAAGGAATTTATTGTGTGTGTTGTATCAACAGTTATTTATTATATAGAGTTAAGAACAGTGATGCGGGTAATGTAGTTAACCTATTGTGATGATCAGACTAAATACATTGGGTTTTATTTTAGAGACAGTTGATAGTACTGAAATGGTGAAAAGTAGTTAGTTTGTACATTAATGCAAGTATCTAAAATTTGGTTTCATGCTATGTAAAGCTTGATAAACATTGTATAAAACGACTGAATTTTTATAATTAGAGAGGGGTTTTCGTAAATATTATAGTGGTGTAGAGGTTAAGCATTCGCGCGTGAAACTGACAAGTCCTCAGTTCGAATCGCATGAGGTGGGACCGTGGATGCGGTCTAAACGTCTCACCAGTGCTTCCAGGTTTTCCATGGTGGTCTAACTTTAATTGACTCATGATCTGAACTATTGAAATCTATGTAAATACTGAAAACGTTGGTTTAAACATCTGTGCAATGCATCCATTTTATACAAAGTCTAATTTTCATTTGAATGAACCACTATATAACCAATCTGATATTTAAATATAACTGATATTTCATATAATAATTACTTTATGACAATATGAAAAGTTCATTATGGATTAACTTGAAAAATTATAAACATGTGACTTGTATTTTTCTCCTTTCAATGATTCAGTCAAATTATGAAGAGAAGAAAAAAAAAATTCCAAACAAAAAAAATATTTTCATATGATCATTTACATTGAATAAAATTATAGGGAAAATTTATCTGGTTTTTTTTTTCTTCTTCTTAGAAATAAGTAGATAATAATTCTTGTGGTCAATAAATTTTATTCAAAGTAGTCATAATGATTCTAGATAGATTGTTTGTATCCATGTTAGAGGTGGGGAGATAGTATAGTGTTATATATATTCAATTCATAAGGAATGAATGAATTCTAATCAAATGATCATATTCTACCTAAACTAATTTTCGTACACTTTATAAATAAAATGCAATTTGTGGGTTCCAATGACAGTTTTTACATTATCTAGTTTACTGACTGTTTAATTGAATTTCTGTTATTTAAATATTTTAATACATCGCTTTTTTTTCGAGGTTAATTACCAATCTTCCCACAAATGTTTGTAACACTGTTTTGGTCATTGAACTTAAAAATAAAATATATTATTTGTTTTTACCTTACTTTCGTATATTAAACATTTAAAAGTATTAAAGAGGAAGAATGTATTTGTAAAATCTCAGCGAAAGAATTTGAAGTTTCGCCTAGAAATCTGATCTAAGCTTTTTCAAGGAAAATAAACGTTGAATTTACTTTAAATTCTTTCGTTGAGATTTTACAAATACATTCTTCCTCCTTAATGTCTTACATTAACTCGGCGCTCAAATATTGTGAATCTATTCGTTCAAATTTAGACGAAAGTTCTTATTTATTTAAAAGTATCAAATCTACAATCCACAGCTGTTCATTGCCTTATTGAATTACACCATTTATTATATAGATCAATGGTTTATTGTTAAGGATGCCCAAGACTTTTTCAAGCCGAATATCGTAAAGTTCATGATCGTCATTTTTTTGAATAAATGACTTTATCGAAGAAGAGTGGACAGCATTTCATAAACATTTGGTTGTTTGAAGTGAGAAATCATACTCAAATGATCATTCGGTATTAAAATGACATCTTTAATGTTGAATTTCACAAACAATATTGGAAAAAAAGGAAAATGAAATGATAAAAAAAGTTTTTGCTTATGTACGATATATAGAAGACCAAAATGACGTTTGAAAACTATTTATTAGTCAGTGATTTACTAATTCAAACATTAGACTTAATTTTCATCGGCCGTTTCGTGTTTACTTCGGAATCATAACTTTTAAAGAGTTGTTCATTTAGCTATAAATATACCTTTCTGATAATATCGCTTTACACGAGTCATTTTAGGGGTACTAACAGTCATTTCAAATTACATGAGTGAATAGTAATATGTTTAATGTTGATTTATTGAAATATCAACCAATTTTTGTAGTATACGTTTCAAGATTTGTGCTCAATACTACGTTATTCCATTTATTGTTTGGAACGTGCGATTTATTTACTACAACATCGATGTATGATTACTGTCCGAAACTATCAGCTTACTATAATAACACTTACCTACAAAGAGTTAGAATATGTACTCAACATTATTCATTGCATAATACCATGAATGTCGAATTCGCAGTATAATATACGGAGTGTAACTTATTTGCATAGAAGTTTTTCTCTTTATGAACTTATAATTTATCAAAGAAATAAATTCTTAGTGGATATTAATTTGACTTCTTTCAAAGCCGTATGATATTTTGTCATTAGCAATGTTAGAGCCAACTGTTTTTAGAGTTTCTTTAAGAATATTTATTACCAATCTACCAAATAAACTTAATGAATATAGTTACTTACAGTACAATCATGAACATGTTTACTTATCACTTTATTATTTGAGTAGTTTTACAGATTTAGATAGATAGACAGGATCGAAGATAAACCTACTTTTTTACATAATAGAGTACAGTGTACAAACATTTGTCTTAAACAAATGATTTATAAGGTATTGGATTCTAGTGACAATGTTAGGAAATAGAAATACTATTGTTGATAAAATATGGACTATTTTAGTATTGAAATTATGAATAGTTTTTCATACATTGGCTAATAAATGATGTTAGTTACCATTTGGGTTCTGAAATGTTTTAAATAAAATTTCCTTTTCCTGATGAACTCAAAGGTAGACTGTCAGATTTCATAGTAAATTCCACAAATTCTGTAAATTTCTGTATTATCGTGTTTACTGTCATGATAAAATTCATTTTGTAGATTATTTTCATCTGAATACATTTCAAAAGAGAAATTCTTTTGCTACGGTGAAGATGTCGATTCCATGGAATATTTGTGGTCTGTGTATAATGATGAACCATTAGCAAGCGACATTGTAGACTGACAATTAATAGATTTTAAAGCATCTGTTGGTTCATCGGTATATTGTGACACATAAGTATCTCTAGTTTGATTTAGCCTTGTGCGACACCAATTAGAATGTGTTTTACATGGTGTGCACAGAATATCAAGAAATGCCTTACGAATATCCCGTAAAGAATATGCATAGATAAACGGATTGACACCTGAATTCAAATAACCAAGCCATGTGACAAGTGGAAAAATTATATTCTCTTGAGTTTTTAAAACTGATGGGTAAACAGCTTTTATTGTGTTATAAACAAAAAATGGTAACCAGCATAACACAAATACACCCATCACAATTCCAAGAGTTTTAGCTGCTTTCCGTTCTTTAGTGAATCGATGTACTCGTTTTTTGATTTCACTTAGATAGCTTCTTGATGATAGCAAACTTTCTTCTGCATTCTGCGTCCCAGATGTTGCTGTTATATTGTCATCCTTTTGTATTAATGAATCGTTTACATTAAATCGATTGAATACAGTTCTGTAGCAACCAGAGAATAATGTGCAGTGAGTGTTTTTTTCATCAAATGATTGAGATTTTCTAGAGTGATTAAATTTAACATGTTTTGTATTTTTTTTGTTTTCTTCTACATTACACTCTAATATTTCATGATTATTTTTATTATCATCATTTGCTGTTGGCGACAATATAGGCGATTGATTGTTGAGGATTTCATGAGAAGATACGTATGATACTTTGGCAGAAGTATTAGGATTATGGGACAATACACCCTGTTGCAAGACTGACGGCAGTGTTTTAGTTATACCGCCTCTGTGCACTCTTAATATCATCGCCTCACCACCTAGTGATTTTCGATAAATTAATCTTTTACCTGTGTTAAATGTCTTAATGAGACCATTTGCTTTCTGATATATTTTCCAATAAACAAAAATCATAACTATCAAGGGTATATGAAATGAAATACACGAAGAAATGAATAAATAAACTCTGTCAGAAGAAAATAAACATTCTAAATCTGGTACACTATGCATATCAGAAACATTATACATATTACTTGAATGTCGCCACCAGGCAATGGCTGGAAAGGAAATTAGTATAGAGCATACCCAAGTAAGCATAATCATAATAATACATCGTGAATGTGTTACACGTAAAGGATAATTAAATGGGTCTGAAATAGCAATATAACGTTCCACTGAAATTGCACATAAATTTAAAATTGAAGCTGTTGAACTAAGAACATCAAATGCGTGCCACATATCACACCAGATTTGACCAAATGGCCATAAAACATACTGATCTTGCTGATTTTTGGGAAGACAGTCTTTATGGATGGATCTTAATAGATCAATTACAGCGAATGGCATAACAATAGCTCCCAATAGTAAATCTGCTGCTGCTAGGGATGCTATGAAACAATTCGTAACATTTCTTCGCAATTTATGTTTTGTACAGATTGCAACAAGTACAAGTAAATTACCACCAATAGTGATGGCTATAATTACAATAAATCCCAGAAATGTTATAGTTTCCACTATAGAACTACTACTTGAAAGTAATTGTTCACTTATATTATTATTAGTGTTATTTTGAGATATATCCACAGTTAGGTAGTTCTCAGTGTTCATTTCCCATTAAACGAAGTGTAAGTTATTTGATCATGCTCTAAATGTTAACAAATAAATGAATAAACTTATTCTATTAAATATTATAGATTATTATATATTCTTATGTCTTATATAATTAACTGTTCACCTTCCAATAGTAGAATCTTTTCTACTTTCCTAGCCAATCAAATTCAATTTACGTGACCAATCAAACTATTAATTTCAAAACTTAGTGTTATTACCAATAATAAAATTTTAAAAACAGTAATTCTTGTAAATTCGAGATAAAATAATTAAATACTTTTCGTATGTTTTCAATAATTAGTCTGATATATTCTTATATTTTCATTAAAAAAATGTGCTAATTAGGCAAACTAAAGTAATTTGTTTGCTATAGTTAAAAATATTTATGGAAACTATAAATGGATTTATAAGCAAAGATGGATAGTGGCTAGCAGTGAAATCCAGGATGCGCGTTTCGTCTTATTTGGGACTCATCAGCTGAGCGAAACGCGCATCCTGGATTCCACTGCTAGCTACTATCCATTCTTCACAATTGATTGATCACTGGGTGGTGATCAATGTCATGCTTGTCTAGTCCTTATTAGTGCAGATCGAATGCTATCGATCATGTTGCGATATGGCCACCAGTCTAGGTGACTCGACACTGCGAGCACTATGTATTGAGATTTAGATGGTGGTTGGAGGTAGTCAACAGGAAACCCTGGACCCGGGTTTCGTGCTACTTGGCACTCGTCAGTAAGGTGTACCTGTAATCTTGAGGGAACTGGTGCTCCCTGGCGGATTAAAATCTCGTGTCACCCAGCTTCACAGTCAGAGACGTTACCACTGAGCTATCTGAGCCGTGACTAACCTCCTGTAGGACTGAGATGTAATCACAATTGATTGATCACTGGGTGGTGATCAATGTCATGCTTGTCTAGTCCTTATTAGTGCAGATCGAATGCTATCGATCGTGTTACAGGTACACCTTGCTGACGAGTGCCAAGTAGCACGAAACCCGGGTCCAGGGTTTCCTGTTGACTACCTCCAACCACCATCGAAAACTATCCATTCTTGTTTAGAATGCTTGTGAATTGAGGCAGTTTTCAGGCCATATGCACAGTATGCACGTATGCCAATAAGAGACTGATCAATTACAGTCCTCAATAACAAAAAGGAAGATACATGTAAAGAACAACAAGTGAATATAGATGGATTTGTTTACTCACAACAAACACATTATTTCCATTAAAAATTCCTATATTTAATAATAAATTCTTTTATGTGAAATATACACATTCATCGATAATATATTCATGTTATTATGGATTTTATAGGCTTAGGTGTTACAAATTTACTGAAATATATTTGTATAAAATATTGAAATTAATACTATTCTTTGATAAAAGACAATTAAAGTCAAATTTAAATGATGGGATTCAATTAGTTAAACTATCCAAATAATATATGTCTTGATTAGGAGTATATTTCAAAATCTCTGTATACCGAAATCTCATTGTCACAGAAATCTTTATAAAGTACGCTGAATGACTGAATACTAATCAATATTATATTATGTGATCTTTAGTGCAGACTAAATTTAAGTAGTCGTTTTACATTGTCGTTAATAGTCAATCTGACATGAAATTGCACTACACCATGTTAGATACTGTATTGTAGTTGGAACGAAGTAAAACGTTATGAACCTATATTCAATGCTAGTTGACAGCAATCAACCAGGCGTAGCTGAAGTTTTAAAATCCTGATGATTCTTAATAATTTAGAAAATAGTATCGTTCAGTGTCTCATTAAAGACCACTAATATTGAGGTCTTCAAGATATGATTAATCTATAATAAAACTGAAGTATTCTCACCAGATGATCACTGATTAGCAGTGATTATCCTGCTGTTTCATCAATAATGTTGTTCCTGATCTAATTGATTGTGTTGATTGATGAATTGAATGATAACTAGAGGATCTTATTTTTTAAAAGAGCGGATTGAGAAATAAATTGGTACATAAAATGAGATTTAAAAAAATTTGCTCATGTAATTACTGTACAAGTCCATAGCTTCTAAGGACGATTATGTTAAGATTGTAACCATCATTGAGAAATGTACATTTACTACACTTACTTGATATTTATTGAGTTGGATTATCTGATATAATGCTGGAAATACATGAGAAAGTTGACCAACCGTGGGTACAGTTGAAAAAATAATTGATCCTTTTATAACGATTCTGCATTATTTATATGGCGATGAATAAAGAACATTGCTTTAGCTAGAGATGTTTTGTAATATCTGGTTGTTTCAACTTGCATTCAATGATATCAAGTAAAGTTATTTGGTTATTTGTTTTCCTTGAAAATATCCATACGGTTATTATACAGTCAGTTAGATATTTACTTGTCTATAATAATGTTGTTTACAGTCTGATATCTCACCAATCATCTCAAAAGTATTAAGACAGTACAGTGATGAAGTTTTCTTTTCGACAATATCATTTATTCATGATGTACAATCGCATTTATAGTTAATTTACAAAAAAAGATAGTTTATTTAAAAAAATTGGGATAACGATTACATCATATCGTGTGGCGAAGGAAGTAACTTGATAGTTGAGAAATGAAGAGAGATAATAAGATGAAATCACATGCGAGAAGGATATTTGTCTACTTCAGAAGTATGAGAAGGGTGAAGATGATAACAAATAACAAGTAAAATCAAAGTTAAAACGATTAAAGCATTATAAGAATCAAATTACCGTTTATTAAAATTAAGTGTTAGGGCCATGGAAGAATGATGGGCTGCAATGGTCTCTTTTGCACATTGAGTTCAAGTTTGAAAGGATGGATTACTAGTACCTCTGCAGCGCACAAGTTGTTAAGTTGCTCGACCTTCATACCCGATAATCTAAAAAACTTATCAGGTGGTGCATGAAACCAAAGTTCACAAGACGTTCCAAATTTGAACTGCTGAGTGATTTATATTCACTTTTTGAAAGCTAGGCGTTATAATGTTCGTAGATGTGCAACATTCCATGCCTCTGACACTTCATTTTAACAAACGGTGATTTGATTTTTTAATACATTCTTCTAATGTCTTAACTTTAAATTTACTTATTACTTGATTTCATCTTTACCGTTCTTATACTTGTCAAGTGGACAATTATCCTTCTCACATGTGGTTTCATCCTATTATCGTTCTTCAATTCTTTTGTTAATGGAACCATAGATTACTTTCACCTTAGAAGTGTTGGCAGTCATATCAAATGACAGCAGCAAACGGCTGTCTGTTGAAGGGTACCTTGCATAAATGTTTACATACATACTACAGGTACGACTTTTAAACTAAGGAACAGGTCTTTGTACTATAGATTCCTACAATAGTACTTAATACCATATATCTTTACTTATTAGCTGCAAGTTTAATGACCAAATTTGATAACTTTAATAGCTAAAGCAACGATCTTCGTAAAAAGCCCAACTATGGTTACATACCATAGTACTTTATAACGATTAACGTGACCATGTTTTTTAGCCAATATCTAAGTGATAAATTTACTATCATTCTCAACATTAACCTCAGCAAGCATATCATGTATTTTGTGTTAATTTTATACCTCTCCAACAGATCGATCATCTGATGGGTTTAAAATATACTTCACTGTCGTACGTTAATTTTAATGTCTTATCATTGCCATTGTTTTACAATCCTCATAATGCTCAGTAAATTTACAGAAATACTTTTTATATAAAGTATGTAGGCTCTGTTGTTAAAGTTGGATTTGTTTAATGACGAAAATACGGAAAATACCACAGTGATTTCTAATTAAATTTGCAGTGTATTGTGCAGTTTTATGATATAGTTCATATCATATGTTACAGGTTTTCAATAAAACTGTATATTTCAATGGTTAAGATCATGAGTCAGTTGAAGCTAGACCACCATGGAAAACCTAGAAGCAATGGACGGCCGATTCGTCCTATTGTGGGACTCCTGAGCAGTGCGCATCCACAACCTCGCCCCCTACGAGATTCGAACCCAGGACCTACTAGTCTGGCGCGCTAGCACTTAACCACTAGACCACTGAGCCGGCATCCAACGATGTTAATTTCTTACTTCAACTAATCCACGAAATTGAGCGACACATCCACAAAACCCACCTGATATTAATCAACATATGCTCACTAGTGACTGGCTTCACGAGGTATATCCTGGATCTCTAGTGAGAAGTAGTGACCAGTGGAGTTCAACTTAGTCTGTTGTGAGATAGTAAGTCACTGAAGACAATAGTGAACGTGTCGCACATTTTCGTGGATTAGTTGAAGTTAGACATTAACATCGTTGGATGCCGGCTCAGTGGTCGAGCGGTTAAGTATTAGCGCGCCAGACTAGTAGGTCCTGGGTTCGAATCTAGTAGGGGGCGAGGTTGTGGATGCGCACTGCTCAGGAGTCCCACAATAGGACGAATCGGCCGTCCATTGCTTCCAGGTTTTCCATGGTGGTCTAGCTTCAACTGACTCATGATCTTAACCATTGAAATTACTATAATATCCACAAAACCCATCTGATGTCAAAACTGTATATGTATTCCTGATTAACAGTTATGAACCTACGTTAGTAGAAGTCGCAGAGAAATGGAGTTAAACTATTATAATAATCAATGTTTTCTGTTATTTTTTAAACATGTTGATATCATGCCTACAGTGCAAGCCACAGTTTACCAAAAATTCCTTTTTCATTGTGTTATCGGATATTAAAAAAAAAACAATTTCCTTTATTTTGTTAAATGACTACCGCATGGTTTGCGCATTTATAACATAGTTCTGTTAATCATATGCTATTACTAAAGGTTAATATGTGAAATAAACTAAATTCATCAAGATGAAACTTTTCACCTAGTTGTATGGATTTTAGAATGTGACTAACATTAGAATTTATCAAAATAGATTTCTGTTTTCTACTTATGTACTTTCTACTTAGCGCAGATTAATATGAACATACTATTTGTATAATAGTAATCTCGTGGTTTTATTTCTTTAAATGTTTAATCAACGATTGTTTAACTGAATAAATATCACAAACCCGATGGA